CCGTTGCGAAAAACTCGGTCGGCGCCGACAACCCCAGCCACAATGTTCTTCTCAGCCTTTTTGGTGCGGAATAGGGATGCGGCCATGGAATCGGTAATCAGGGTGCTGGGGATGCCTTCATAGACCAGCTCAAAGGCAGTGAGGCGACTGCCTTGGTTGTACGGCCTGGTCTCCGTACAGAATGCATGTCGTAGTTGGCCGTTGGCCTGCAGGGTTCGAATAATGCCAAGCGCCGTGCCGTGGCCGGATGTAGCCAAAGAGCCGGTGTTGCAGTGCGTGAGAACGGAAACGGTGTTATCTGGTGTCGCGCCAACTTGCGCCTTGAGCCACTCGGCGCCGTAGTCCCCGATGGCAAGATTTGTCTTGAGGTCCTTTTCGAAGATGTTCTCGGCTTCTTCGATAAATCCCTGTATAATAGACGCCTTGGTTTCACCAGACGTCCGTATCCGCGCCTTGAGCTGGTTAATGGCGTTGGTGAGATCGACGGCGGTGGGACGGCTCTGCTTCAGGTAGTCGAGGGCTTCGTCGATGTGGGCAATGACTTGCTGAGGCGAATCAGCAGCTACGGGACCATTGAAAAGCTCAACAGCAAGCCCAAGACTGGCGACGATGGCAATGGCAGGGGCGCCACGGGTTCGCATGGAGGCAATGCTGTCGAAGGCTTCCTGGCGAGTTGAGACTTGGTCATAGTGGAATTCGTGCGGGAGGCGGAGCTGGTCAAGGACCTCGAGCTTGCCGCGAGAGTAGCGGACGGCTTGAAGGGTGGACATGGTGAATTTTTGAAAGCACCCTGATTACAACTGCAAAGAGGAAATGAAAGCGGCTCGCCAGGTGTTTTGTTGCCCCTCCACAACTCCAGATCTTTCCTGGTTGAACGATTCTGCCGCCACCCCGCCATGGCGTCAGCGCGTGCCGACACATGTGCAGGATTATTGGTGCGCAAAGGTGGACCAATGATGGTGCTTCAGTGGTGCACCGTGCTGCTCTGCGGCGCCATGGGCTCTCACCGCCTGGCCCTGACAGATTGATTGACTTGACTGCCAGGCACCAGATGTGATGCTAGCTTGACGAGCTGCCAGGGACCCGGTACCAAACAGCCACCACCAGACTGTCTCGAGTAATCCGAAGGTTGACTCTTGTGCATCGGCGCGCAGCCTCACCCTTAGACATCGCCTTCACATGGTAAGATGCTAATGGCAGAATCGACGCGCTGGCCATGGAACAGCAGTCATCGACGTCAAAAGTGACAGGTAAGCCACGCTCCTTGCTCCTTGCACCCCTTCCGCCTTTGCGTACGTCCTGACCTTTCTCAGTCGAGTACTTCGATCCTCACCATGTCTACAAGCTTCTCGCGCCTGGTCTAGTCCCTCGATTGCCATTGCGCAACCTCCACTGGCAGTCACATGCTGGACCTCTCCGATCTATCGACACCCTACATGTTGATTTGGTGCCAGGCGATGCCTCGCAGCCACCCGAACCCGCGGCTCCCAAGTCAAGGCGGTCCACGAATGCCTCGCGTGACGATGACGGCTTCCAAACACAGCAAGTGGGCGGCGAGGCCAGCTCGTCAGACACGGTTGACAAGCAGGCTGCGGCGACCAAGACCTCCTCATCGGGCCAGCGACGCCATCAGATCCCCGGCCTGCGCAACACCCCCTATCTCAAAGTGCTCCTGGTACGGTGCGACGACAACGATTCATACAAGGCCACGGTGAGAGCAGAGATTCGCGAGTGGATCAAGGAGCACACGCCGCCGTCGAGTGCGTCCAAAAAGGCCAGCAATCAGGAGAAGCACGATGCCTTTGAGTGGCTCATATTGCACGTCGTCATCCCCAATACTGCAGCTGCCACTCAACCCCGAAACACTGGGAGCAAGGGTGAAGGGGGCTCGGCAGAAAAGGCATCAACTACTTCACGATGGAGACCGGGGTCAACGCCGTTGATGGAGAAGTTTCGATCTGATTTCAACTCGTCTAGTAAAGGCGCACCAGACCGCGTCGCCCAGATTCGCATCGGCATCAACGATGTGCCCTATGACCTACTGCCAAGGGTAGTTCCCGCTGTGCCGTCTGGATACTCAGAGACTGAGCAAGATGCCGAGAATGCATGGAACGAGTTGATGAGCAAATTTAAGGGCTTGATTCTGAGCTCCTTTGATATGCGAGTAACACAGTATGAGGAGGATATCAAAGAAAAGGACGGTCAAAGAAGTCTACCGGGCTGGAACTTTTGTACCTTTTTCATTTTAAAGGAGGGTTTGGCACGCGGGTTTGAGAATGTTGGGCTTGTCGAGGACGCCCTCGTCGGATATGACGAGTTGAGCGTTGGTCTTGATACAGTCATTCAAGAACAAATCGAGAGCGGAGCGCCGGAGAAACACGGCGGTGCCATGTTAACATATACGGAAGAGCTACAAAAGGTGGCTGGGCAAGTGTTGACGGAGCTATCAGGGGACGCCGGTGATGAGGTAGCCGTGGACTTGCAAAGGCAGGAAACGGCCTCAAACGACGCCGACGATATCCCCATCAGTTCATCGAAAAAGGCCTATCGCGACATGATTCTTGCCAACAAGGTGTCCGTTTTTGATTTCAGATGCTACATCTTCTCAAGGCAAATATCACTACTCTTGCGTTTGGGCAATGCATTTGCAACACGGGAAGAATTGCTGGCCAAATTGATGGATCAGCGCGATTCTATTCTCCATGGCGTAGCGCCGCTCCTACCGCCCATGAATAATGACGATGGACCTGAAAATTTGGGCATGCTCTCCGAGGTATGCCGACGGACGTTGGAGTTTATTCCAGTAATATCTCAAGTTATGCGCCAAGACATCACTGCATCCTTGTTGAATGATGCCAATTCAGATACTGCAGACAACGCACAGGTGACGACCCTGGATCCATTGCTGCTGGAGACGATGGACAACATGGTTGCATCGTTTGCATTTACAATTGCGCAGCAGATTCTCGCCCAAACTTCGACCAAAGCACTGCCCATCCCACCGCCGACCTTGGCCATGGGAGACGGGGCCGAGCCAAAGTCATCAATTCCAGAGCCGAAGACTATGCTACATCCAGCGAGATCCTCGTCCTTGCAAGCGCAGCCCTCATCGCGCCCACCACCTAGCCCCAACTTTCCCGGTCCTGGTAGGAAACCGAGCGTCGCGGAACTCGGTTCGCAGGCGTCATCGTTCCTCAAGGTTGGGCTTGAAGAATTGGCGGCTCGTCGTGCAGAGTTGTACATGCTATCCAGGAGCATATTAGAAGGCCTGGGCAAAAAGCGCGGTTGGTCCAACGGCTGGGATGAAGCACCATTGGTTGGTGAACCTGGGCTTGACGGCATGGAAGATATCAGTCTCCATGATGGTGATGATGATGATGGTGGTGGTGGTGGGTGTGGCCATGGTTCAAACAGTAGAGGCAAATCTATCACAGAATCTTCTGCACCTTCAATCGCCGGTATTGACAGTCAAATCCTGCGGACGGCCACCGATAACACAGTCGACTTTTATCGTCTATACGAAATCCTCACTAACAAAGCTCACCACCACTTTGCCGTTGCCAATCACGTTCACGCCGTCAAGACTTGCACAGCTGATCTGGCCATGCTCAAATTTCACACGAAAGAATACAAGGCTGCCACATCATACTTCGAGCAGGCCACTCCATTCTTTGCAAAAAATGGTTGGTCACTCTTGGAGCTATCTCTGCTAGTCATGTATTGCCAGTGTCTAAGCGAGCTCGGTTCAAACGATCACTATGTCCATGTTGCGATGACACTTCTCATCAAGTCTTGTGCCGCTGAAAGAGAAAATCGGGAACGGAAGCCTGCCGCAGTAGCGCTGCCAAAGATACCCATTCTCGAGCACTCGCCTATCAAACAGGTCGCGGCCAAACTATTTGCACTGACTTTAAATCTCTCCTCAGAGGTCAAGGTGCCACTATCAAAATTTTTCATGGATGTTGAGTTGGAAGGAACACCCATCTACCATGACCGGAAAGATGGATTTTCGTTAAGGATTCAACTCAGGAGCCTGCTGCCAGAAAAGCTGACGCTGGATTCCGCGAAGCTAAGAATGACGTGTACAGATGGAGGATCACGAAGAGACATCAACTTGGAAGTCGACGGGAAAATTGTTCTCTCTCCAGGCAAGAATTCAATCTCCGTAGCGTGCAATGTATGTCAAAGCTGTCGATCTTTGGGCCTGATCCTACTACTAACTGCTGCCCAGTCCGTTATTCCCGGAAGCTATCGTGTAAGCCGGCTAGCCTTGGTGTCCGGCAAACTATGCCTCCACCACGAACAAGACGTCAACTCCTTGCCTCCCCGGACAAGCAGCATCTTCCGAGATCCCGATGTAACCTTGTTCCAGCGCCCCAATGCGCTTGACGTGCAGTTGACGGCCAGCAGACACATAAGCCTTGGTAAAAACAACGCGCTTGATCTCATCATACGTTCTGGGTGGAACACCTTGCAGAGCTGTGAAGCCAAAATCAGACCAACAACTGGTGGTCTCCGTCTGTTGACTACAGAAGCAAAACTTGTCGACGAATCCATCCAGTTTTCGAAACGCCCAGAATCCGGGGCGCTTTTCTTCGGTCCGATGGAGGAAGCGACATCCATTACCGTGCGCCTCCCTTACTCCATTGAGCAGGATCTGGGCGACGTTTCAGTCAAGGTAGAGGTTACATATGTAACAACAAGTGGCGAATCATTCCAGCTCGCAAAGTCGATCATGATTCCGGTCTCGCTAGCAGTTGGGGTGAATGTACAAGACGTGTTCAAGCATAACGCACTGTTCTCGCGGTTCAACGTGGACACTGCGTCATCCAGCCCCCTGCGACTGTTCAGGAGCGAGCTTGTGGGGTCGGAGCTGTTCGAGTCCTCGTTTGGCATCCCGCCGGCCAATACAGTCATGGTTTTCCCAAAGCAGCAAGCTACATTACTCTACAAAGTCAAAAGGAAGGAGGGGACGGAGGTGGCTGCACGAGATGGCAGGATAATGCACCTCAAGCTATACTACAGCGTGCTGCAGACGGAGATAGAGGAGCGCATACAAGAGTCGATTCTAGAAGGACTCAAAGACACGCCGCTGGAGCTGTATTCCAAGGTGACAGCGGCGCGCGTACTGGAGGAAACAAGAAACGGGCTAGAGGCCCACGATCTAGAACGAGCAGCGCTGGTGGGCGAAGTCACAACATCGTATCTAGAGAAGGCCCGGTGGGCACATCACTTGCGTGGCCTTGGATGTGTGCCTGGCACAAGGGACGATGCGACGACGAAATTGGCCGAGTTTCTCGACGATTGGCGGAGGAAGCACCCTCGCCTGACCCTCCCGACGTGCACACCAGACGAACCATGGTCGATTGTCATACCCGTCGAGGTCCCATCCCTGTCCGTTGTCCACACAGCCGACATCCGCATCGAGCAATCTCTCCTCGACCACCTTGAGGGACCCTCGGCGGGCGCTCCAGCAGCCTCGGTGAACCAAGTCCTTCCGGCGACACTCCACCTCAAATGGACACGCATATGGGACACTGACGCGCTGGCTCGGGAGGACGAAGAGTTCAGCTACGAGGTCACGGCCCCCAGCGACACATGGCTCATTGGCGGTCGTCGAAGGGGACATTTTGTCATCCCCGGGGGCAAAACGCCCAGCACCATGTCGTCGACTGCAGACACGGAGGCCGAAATCCCGCTGGTGCTGATACCCCAGAGGGAAGGCCATCTGCCGTACCCAACGGTGGAAATTAGGGATGTGCCGCCGGTG